AAAAAAAAAAAAAAGTACCCGAAAAAAAAGGAAAGAAAAATATATCCTTTTGAAAACTCCCGCACGTTCTTAGTTGGAAACTAATTAACACTCACACTGCCAACTCACACTCACCAATCTTAGGTCCTCATTCATCGTCTCATCCCCACCCAGCGCCGCCTCCGCCGCTTCGGCTTCGATTTCCGGCGACGATCTCCTTACAAGATGCTGCCCTTCGGCACCATCGATGAGGCTTCCGCATTCCTTGGCCGGAACTTGACCTTCGCAGAGACTATCTGGTTCAATTACTCGGCCCGGAAATCAGATTACTTCTTGTACTGCCACAACATCCTCTTCTTGTTTATTATCTTCTCAGTGGTGCCTCTGCCACTGGTGTTTTTGGAGATGAAGCGATTTGCGGCGCTCGAAAAGTACAAGATTCAGCCCAAGGTCCATTTTTCGCTTTCAGACATGTTTCGGTGTTACAAGGATGTCATGCGTATGTTTTTTCTCGTCGTCGGTCCTTTGCAATTAGTATCTTATCCTTCGATCAAGGTAGCAGTCCACTAATTTGTTGAATTTGTTGGGTTTTGGATTCTGGGTTTATTTAATTGGTTTAATGTTAGAGGTGAAATTTTTTGTGACATTGTTGGTTCAAGCTTGAATTTTTGGAATTATGATTTTGGAGATTTCATTTTAGATTTTTTTTCCTTCCTTCAAAGGTTTTATCAGTTTCGGAATTTCTGAGGTTAAAGTTTGTTATTTGGAGATTTGATAATTAATGTTATGGTCCATCAGTTTTGATTTTTCTTTCTTTTTTTTTTTTTTCTAAAATGAGTATTAATTTGCTTAGTTGCTGTCAAGTAATCTTTAATTTCAGTTTTTTAGATATGGAAATTGGGGGTTAATTATTTGTATCTTTTCTTTTTTTAAAACAAATTTTGCCTCAAAACCTTTATATATGGTCTGTGTTTTTTTGGGAATCCTTCACCTTGGATTTGAGAATAGTATTGGAATTTGGATGAAAATGATGGTGAGTTTCTTCAGAAAAATTAGTCACTATAAACTCTAGTTCCACCCAATGTCAACTTCAAAGCTCTTATTTCATGGTACAGAACAGAGTAAAGTTTATTAATTTAATTAACCCTTTACCAATCAGTGTCGGTGGAGGATTTGAGAGGTTTTTACATACTTATTTGGAAATACCACCGCAGCATGCATGGCATAATGTACTCTTCAATTTCAACCACTAGAAATTTAAATTATCAAGATTTCTCTCTTAATCATAGAAACTTGGTTGTGTTACTTTCTGAAATTCTTTAGATTGTACTTTTCAACTAAATCAGTTGATTATCGTCTGCTGTTTACATTTTGAAGCATATTGTAAAGGCTTTTTTCTTACTTAACTGCATATCTTGCGTAATAGATGATTGGCATTAGATCAGGGTTGCCTCTTCCATCTGTGTGGGAAATTGTTGCACAGTTGGTGGTGTATTTTATAATAGAGGATTACACAAATTACTGGGTTCACAGATTCCTGCATGGAAAATGGGGCTATGAGAAAATTCACTGCGTTCACCATGAGTACACAGCTCCGATTGGGTTTGCTGCTCCATATGCACATTGGGCTGAGGTTTTGATTCTTGGGATTCCATCTTTTCTTGGGCCAGCAATTGTTCCCGGACACATGATCACATTTTGGTTGTGGATTGCTTTACGGCAAATTGAGGCAATCGAGACACACAGTGGGTAAGCAAGACATAGTTACACTTTCTTCTCTCTCTATTTTTCCTTCTAATTGCTTGCTGCATATTTTTACCCTTGGTCTTCTGACTAAATGATATCAACTTTAGAAATTCTTTCATTGCTTTTCCTTTTCTATGGAAAGTGGGTCTTGATGGATCTTCAACAGTAGCTTACCTTTTCTTAATGAGTGTCAAGATCAGTATGATGTCGTTTTCTCATCAACCTTTATCTTTTCCTACATTCTTAATTTATTCTGTGGAGAAGGAACTAGCTACTAATTGCAACATGTGTTAGCAACGGTAATCATACATGCTAGACCAAAAGCTTAAAAGGTGAACAGTGTAGCATCAACTTGGGTTGTTTGCCTTGACTAAATGTAAATTGCTTAGTTTTCAAAGTATAAGGCTCCCTGTGCATGCTAATGCTTTTGAGTTAAACTGTCATCAGTTAATACCATTTCTTAAATTTTTGGTTTGCTCTTGCCCTCCAAAACTAGTAATAAATGAATGGTGCATTAGAGCTATTGTTTAGTGATTAAGGTGTGACTTTAGATTGGACAAGACATAGTTGAGAGGAATGTGTACCAGTGACCCATTTAGTTGTAGTTCATTTCAGGCACTACAATTTATATTTGCATCCCTTACTTCTTGTTGTTATTGAAGTTAAACTCTTGCCAAATGAGGATTGTTTTATAAACAGATAACATGCTGTGCAGATATGACTTCCCCTGGACTCCAACAAAATATCTTCCATTTTATGGTGGTGCAGATTACCATGATTACCATCATTATGTTGGAGGACAAAGCCAGAGCAACTTTGCTTCAGTGTTTACTTACTGTGATTATATTTATGGAACTGACAAGGTAATAGACGGGCTTTTGATCTTAATTTATATTTCTCTTTAGGTTTCTAAAAACTTCAACTGACAAGGTTGGTCATCTAATTTTGTCTTTTGCACTTAGGGCTATCGATACCAAAAGAAGATCCTGAGAAAGGTAAGCATGCTGGATTTGATGTTGTTTTCCTCCTTACCATGGGATCTCACATGGTGCTTCCTTGATGCTCTTATTTGGTTGCATGGAAAACTATGATTCATGGTCAATTTATGTTCCTAAAGAAGTCGAATATGGTTTGATTCCATGTTAGAAATTGTTAGCCAGTCAACATGACATGTCCAATTGTAAATACCTGTTAGCTATATCTTTTTACTTGGAAGTAGGCTTGCACGGTATTTGCGTTATGATCCTTACTAACATTGCATCAATGGAGCAAAACATCCATCTTGATTATTGTATTTCTTTTTCTTGTGCTGATTATTCACTCTTGATTTGATTCAGTTGAAAGAGGAAATGAAAAATGGTGGTGTGCAGAATGGAGGCTCAAACCCTTTTCTTTCTCAAGATCTTAAATCAGACTAGCTGAGCAACAGAAATGCAATCACTCTCTGGAAAAAGGAGTCTCTGTATATTCTCCCAATTGTCCCTCAAGAGAACTACTATTATGATAAAAGTCATCCTTGGTGGTTTTGCTGGAGATTATCTTGGAGTTTAGCAAACTTGATTTTGGCAGCTTGAGAAAGAATTCAGTCCTCCTTTTTAGGTGGCAGTTCTGGAATTTGTACTTTCTGCTGTCTTCAGATGAAAATTTATGAATCAGACTTGTTTTTTAAAAATTTTATGCTGTCATTTTGATTTTGTTACATAAAGCTGTTCTCTTCTTACATTAGTTCAATGTTTTCATAAATTAAGGTCACAATACTGATAAGATAACACTATAGAGAGACCCTGAACCAAAGTGTTAACAAGAAGCCCGTCTAGCTCAGTCGGTAGAGCGCAAGGCTCTTAACCTTGTGGTCGTGGGTTCGAGCCCCACGGTGGGCGAAACTTTTTTGGCAAAACCATATGTTAAGCCCTTGAATTAACCTCAGATTCGCTATGGAGCCCCCAAACTTTAACTGATAAATATAAACCCCCTATGCTCCACAATCTGAGCAATTTAATCCTTATTCTTACCGTAATTTAGCCCTTGTTTTTTATGGTAGTTAAAGAATTAAGGGCTAAATTGCTCAAATCATAGAGTTAGGGGCTTATATGTATCAATTAAAGTCTAAGGGCTCAATGAGGAATCTGGGGTTAGTTCAGGGGCTTAACATATGGTTTTGTCAATTTTTTGGTAAATTTTAAAGCCATTTTTTCCTTAATGTATAAAAGTGAGACTTTAAGCCTCTGAACAACACGGTGTTATGACGTTGACTCCAAAATTAACGGCAGGCACTCACGGGTCCGTTTATTCTCCAACTCAGCCTCGCCACGTCACCTTCTTTTAGCACAACTCAAGCACTGTTTTTCCTACGTGACAATGTCAAATTGTCAACGTAGAATTTGATGATGTGGACCCAACTAAATTTTAATCATATTTTAAAATCAAATAATGTAAATTAATCAGATGTATCAATACAAACTTTAAGTCTTTTAAACAAGACGAAATTGGTTCATTACAAACACCGCCATACAGCATCTATAGGAATAATAAACAGTAAAATTACATCAAGAGCAAGAAACTAGAGTAGACCCATATCCAGAGGTCGAAGGGAGGTGCACATGACACTCGAACAATCACTAAGGCCCCAGTTATACAGTGGCTTTCGGTTGAGCTATCCAAACGGGACACCCTTCAATCTACCCATGTGGAAGGTGCGCCAGGCTCCAGGATGCCGATGCGGAGACCCGATCAGGCGGAGGCCAATCCCTGGAGGCAGCAGGTGGGTCATGAGGTTGCCAGATCTGGGATCCCCTGCATTCACCGCCACCGATAGAAGCTGCCGGATGGAGGGGACCACCGCTGAATCTGCAAGCCAACCAAAAAACAGTGAGCACCTAACAAGATTTGCAAGATAGAGCCGAGGGTCGCCAGATCTAAAAAACAAACCATACAAGAACACAAAGAAACAACAAAACAACAAGAAAAAAACAAGAAAACCAAAGGGGTCACCAAAGGGGACCCAAAAGCTGACAGACTTGGAAGGGTCATCGGAGGAGAGAGCATAGGGCGGCTCCAACATGCTTAAACGGCCAGGAATCCCGGCTGCTCAGGCATCAAAACCCCGGAAGCTCAAAGGCTTCCGGGCAAAAACAACGCAGCGCCAGAGAAGGGAGGCAGAAGCAAGAGAGAAGGGAGAGAAAAGGGGGAAAGAGAGATAACATACAAACTTTAAGTCTTAATTTCAATTAATTAAAGATTTAACCAAGTGATAAAAACCAAAAGATTTATAACTAATCCAAGATTTAACCAAGTCACTAACAAGTTAAGTAGTTTATGAAATCTTCTTTCACTAAAAATAAAAGATTTTAAATTTGGTTTCCATAATATGCAGAAAAAATAAGAAATGAAATAAAACTACCTTTTATTATACAATTAAAATTTGAAAACAAAATTAACCAATTCATACTAAAATCACAATAGCGTACCATTTAAGGGTTTAAAGTCTCACTTTTATACATCAAGGAAAAATAACTTCAAATTTTAGAACTTGGAGGGTAATATGGTGGATTTTGCCCCTTAATGCTGGGACTGTATATAAGTTTAATTTATGTGTCTCTAATTTTGTTGAATGAATTATATTAAATTATAAAATAAAAGTCATTAGATGAAAAGAAAACCTTCAATATTAAAGAACTCATTATCATCTAATAGTTAGTGTTATACAATCTTATATTATTTTCTTAATTTATTTATTATGCTATTTTACATGGCCTTCAAACGCTGGTCCTCTAAGTTTAATTTATTTATTGAATAAACTATAAAAATCTACTTATACAAAAATTTTATATATTTTATTTACACAAAATCTCAATTATTTATTTCTTTAATTTTAATGGTTAAAAATTATTTTTATTTATTAAAAATAATTATTTTTTACTTAAAAAATCATAATAATTTTTAATTATTAAAATTAAAAGATCAATAATTAAAATTTTATATAAATAAAATATATAAAACTTAGATATAAACGCATCCCCTTCTTGTTTATTATGCTATTTTATGTGGCCTCCTAATGCCTCTAAGTTATTTATGCTATTTTGCGTAGTTGAGCGAGCCCGTGGGCTCGTATAAAGCTGGGTCAGCTGGGATTCAGTGCAATCCATTCTAGTGGGCTGGGTTTTTCTCCTGCTCACCTAGGATACCCAAAACCCAAAGGCCAAAATTTAGCACAAACCACAAAGGTCGAAAACCAAGCACAATCTTATACCAAATTACCAACCACAGAAAGGGATTTTGTCAATGGACAAGAATCCACCATAAATTGTACCAAAAAAGAAAAAAAAAAAAAAAACACATTCTATACCATTGTTGACTAAAAAGAAAAGATGATAATTGCAGCATAATGTGGCAAAGAAGAACAAATACAAGAAGGACAACCAAAAAAATAAGAACAGACACTGTAGTAAGGAAGAGACACTTTGTTTTGGGAAATAAATACTAATGTTGTATGTATGATTATCCAATCTAGTTGAATTTGAGTGGGAAGTTAAAAAAATAAAAAAAGGAAAAATTAGGGCAGACAAGAGTTTCACCAGAAGAGTGGGTCCTGTAATCATGGTTGATGGGTGTGATTTCAAAACCAAGTTTCAGCTTTCAATTGGGTCTCAAATGCAATTGGTCCCTCTCCTTTTACAACTTTTATAAAGTAAGGAAAATGCAAATGAGCTTTCTCATAATTTCTTCAGAGCATTTTATGGCTTTCTTTTCTGTAGCATCATTGGGGAATGTTTATCCCCCCCTAGTTCTCAATCCATGCCATACACTTGTCAGTAACACAGTATCCGACCCCCACACATTTATGGAGACACATTGCAGGGAAATTTTGAAGCTCAATTAATACTAATATGAACCTTTGGTGCAGGTGTGGAACCACGATATCACTTATTGGATAGCGCCTATTGCATTTTTTAATTAATAAAGTCTAAAATTAAAAGGTCTCGTGTATAGTGTTATTTTTGTTTTAATAGGTGACACCTATAATTACAAAACTTTAAAATTATAGACTTCTTTTTGAAAAAGAGGTAGGGATTGTGTTTAACTTCTCTTCAATGTAAGTTTGGCCCTTGCTTTGATGGATCATCGTGGCAAATATATGATCATCTTTGGTGATTAATTAATAGTATCTTTGATATCAAAGTTACATGCATTTTTTTCTGCATGACCATGTATTACTTTTTTCTGTTAAGCATTCATACAAAATAAGCAGGTTTTGTCTCCTCCCTTCACGCCCAATGTGCTTCTAACCAATATCATCAAGAAAAACCATATATTTGAAATGAAATAGGAAGTTGGCCATGTATCTGCAGTGAAGTAAAGTAAGTATATATCTTAATAAAAAAATTATGTATTATATAAGCTGGGAGTACCTTTTGTACTCTAATTATATAATAAAACTTTTGATTGATTGAAAAAGAAAGGGAAAATAGGATGTACTATGTATGTGATGTGGTTATATCATGCCCTAATGTTTAAGACTAAGGAAGTGGGTCTTGGTAATGGGAAATTAAATAAATGTTAATAAACACTATCAAATTGAGATGATGGGAATTGTTTTTATGTAGAGGGATTGATAGACAATATGTGTTGGTTTTCATTGATTTTATACAATAATAATGAAGAGGGGTTTGGTAATGGTTTCTATGGCCTACTTAACACTGTCTATACTTAAACTGTATAAATTGGGAGTTTTCTTGTTTGTATGCATGACTTTATCGTGGCGGCAGTTGCCTTTTCCCATTATAAAAGAAATAAGGCAGAGTAAAGACCTCTAAAGGTTCTTTCAACTTGCAGTGAAAAATGTAAATGAAATCTAGGGTTCTTGTGAAAACACAAATAAAAATGGATGAGCGTTTTGGGGTTCAAATCTAAAACTCAAATTTCCTTTGTGGATAAAAAAAAAAAAAGAATGAGTAATTCAGATGTATATTATATGAACGGGGATTCACGAGCGGATGGATGAATTGACAGGGAACTCTTCTAATTTAACCAAAAGTCTTGATTTCAAGTTTTAAAAATGCAGTTCCGTTAAAACTTATGAGAGAGAGTTTTTCTGCCCATTGAGTTCCACTCGGCTCGAATCTGGATTAATCGGTAATCCAATAAGTTTTCAGATATCGAATGGTTCATACAAAAAAATATATATATATCATCTCAACCGGGGGGACTGTTACTACAAAGAGGATGAAAAAAGAGGGGCCAATAATAATTTTTGGATGAAATTTTAAATTTTGGATTTTGTTACTTTTGTCAAATGGGAGAAAATGAAACGTCTTCACTCCTTAGCTTTAACCGATATTTTTTGCTTAAGTCAATTCAACCCGCCTAAATAGACCCTAAGGAGTCCCAAGGAAAGTAAATATTCAAAGAGAAAAATAAGAATAAGGACTTTTTTTCTAACTTATGTTTTAAGATATAAATTAAGGGTATATTTATTATGAAAATATATGTTAAAAAATAAAATATAATTAAGAAATAATATTTTTATATTATTTTTTATATTATTTAATTAATTTTTTTATTTATTTAAAATCATAATATTAAATATATTTATTTATTTATTTTCGTCATATTTTTCGTTGTGAGATTCTATTACAACTCCTAAGCCAGCCGCTTTTCTCAACATACACCGTCGGGGTAGAATTGATCAAACGAAAAGGATAAAAAAATTGACGAACATACACCGATTGCTTTGAGTTTGAGGAATTTACTATTGGTCACCAGTGCATAGACAATAGCGTAGTAGTGCGATGTCTTTGAAAAAT